GGTCCTCTGTGGGAGAGAGCTGACTCTGAGGACATTCCTCGACAGGCTTGCTGACAGAGGGTTGTCCATTCTGATGGTGACACTGTCATTGCCCTTCAGTGTCAGGGCAGAGCATCACAGTGGAGTTGCCCAGTCCAGGAAAGCAGGAGATTTTCCTCTGCAGCCTTGCAACAATATGCCTTGTGATGCACCCGGGCATCTTCCTGGTGCACACGGGGGATGATCCGCAGTGTGCCACTCCTTTGCATGAAGTGCTGATCTGGGCATCTCTTCCTGAGCTGCCTTTTGTGGGTGGTGGCAGCTGGGGACCCTCACAAATGTCTGCAAAGCTGGTGCCCAGGTGAATGGGAGAGGCCTCCTAGTAACTCACCCTGTGTCTCCTCCACACAGAGACCGGGGAGAAGGGAGCCCAGCTGTCAGGCGGCCAGAAGCAACGGGTGGCCATGGCCCGTGCACTGGTGCGGAACCCACCTGTGCTCATCCTGGACGAAGCCACCAGTGCCCTGGATGCAGAGAGTGAATACCTGGTAAGTGGGGGCAGCAGATGCTGCGGGAGGCTGTGGCCGGCAGCCAGGCCGAGCAGTGGCCACAGGTTCTCTCAGGCCATGAAAGGGAAACAGAGTTCTGGGCACAGACACTTTGGGGCCTGGACACCCAGCTCCAAGCAGAGCTACAGCTGAGTGACATGGGTAAACGGGGTGCCAGACCAGAGGATCAGATGCGGGAGCCCCACCCTGCGGTGTACTCCTGAGTTTCTTTCCTCCTTCCTCCCTCCTCTCTCATTGCTTGTGTTTTTCAGTCTGAAGCACAACCCCAGACCTTGTACAAATGCCCCCCACAACTGCAGCCTGGTTCTAGCTGTTCTTCCCTAAGCTAGTCTCCAGTGGTACAGTGGATAGTGTCAGTGCAAAGCTCAGCTCTCACCTCAAGGAGGTGACATGTAGTTTATTCTGGAGCCAGATTAGAGAGACCGTGTCCAGGAACAGACTTGGGTTATCCCAGTTCCACGATCAATGTGGAAGAAGTTTCCAGTGTCATGAAGTTTTCATAGTAACAGATCAACAAAAGTCGACAATTAAGATGCTTTTCAAATACATTGATGTGGGTGTCGGGTGGCAAAGCTGGGGAGCTCTGTCACGGGCTTCATTTGCAGTCTGATGACACTCTTAGCTTTTGGGGTGGTGGAAACTAGGGTCTGCTAACTTAGCCCGTTCCAAAGGGTTTTGCCAGTCACAGCTTGTGGAGTCTGACACAGTGGGCAAGAACGACCTTAGACGGTTGAAATTCCTGAGGTATCGCCACAGCTCTAATCAGGCACACACACACCGATTTCCAGAAATTATCAAATTTTATAATGTCCCTCACAGAGGAATGGCTGGTGAGGCTGTAACGGCAGACACTCCTTCATCGTAGTGACACTGACTTCCTTGTCTCCTCCTCCTCCATCTGGTACTGTTTACTTGCTGCACGCAGCAGGACCGTGATGTATATAGTAAGCAAGGATGGCAGGCAGTGGTGATTCGCACCTTTGAACCCAGCACTTGGGAGACAGAGGCAGGTGGATCTCTGAGTTTGAGACATAAAAATCAAGAATTCCATTGGTTTGATGAAGTGAGGTTAACAATGAAGGAAAAGGCATTTGAAGCATCAAGGTTTACCTGTTGTTTAAAGGACCAGATTGGCCACACCCCCTGTGTTTACAGTTACTGGCATTCTCTTCCTAGATGGATGTATTTTTTAATTTTAGCGTTCCTTTTAGCTTGATGACATAGCTGTAAGCTCACGGGGAGGAGCCGACTAGGACTCTGGGCAGCCGAGGTCCACACTGCGGCGCTTGCCTAGCTGATACACTTCATTGTGCTGCATCATGCCAGACTGGCCGTGGAAACGTAAATGAAACTCCATCATAGAGCTGAGACTCCAGATCCCCGGCTGCCTGAGCATGTGCTGACTGTGACAGCAATGGAAGCAAGGCTCAGGCCGGCGGGGCCTCTGCAGACCCGATGGCTCCTTTTACTTTAATGGCAGAAATGGAAGTGGGGATCTGACAGGGAGTCACTGTAGTATTGTCCATTTCCTTCTCATTAGCAAAACACAAGTACTGTTTAAATCAGTCCTGGATAAACTGTACTATAGGACAGTTTAGATGCTAATTTAATCAAGAAACAGGAGCACGTAAGGGATAAACCTCGGGAATGCTGCTGTTCTTAGAGACTTATGTGTGTTGTATAAGAAGAGTTAACCCAAGGCTTTGGGCGTCTCTAGCTAGAGGGAATGGGGTTCAAGGTCCAGCTGAGCTTGTGATAGGGCCATTTACAGTGTTTATTGTTTCTATTGATTTAATCGGCTGGACCTTGTTTTTGAGACAGGTAGTCCTGGCTGACCTCAAGTGCAGAGAAATTCACCCCTACCTCCAGGATTGAAAGGTGTGCACCACCACGCCCAGCTATATATTTTTTTCTTAATAAGAATCTTGATTTATTGATATCCTTGAAATGGAGGTTTTTTAAAAAGGAGATTTAAAATAAGTTTGCCAATTTAAAAACAATTTTTTTAGATTTATTATGTATACAGTGTACTGCCTGTATGTATGCCTGCAGGCCAGAAGACAGCACCAGATCTCATTATAGATGGTTATGAACCAGGCTGGTGCTCTTCCAGAGGACCTGGGTTTGAGTCCCAGCAGCCACGTGGTGGCTCACAACCCTATGCAACTCCAGTTCCAGGAGAATCAGATGAGGCGCTGTCTTCTGTTCTCTGTGGGCACTGCACACACCCCGCACAGGCATAGACCCAGGAAAATACTTTGTTTCCTTTTAAGATAGGTTATCTCTATGTGGCCCTGGCTATCATGGAGCCAGCTATACAGACCAGGCCAGCCTCTAACTCAGAACTCTTCCTGTCTCTGAATACTGGGATTAAAGGTGTGTACTACCCTACCCAGATCTTTTAATAAACAGCATGAAGCATTAATTTTGTCTCAAGATATTGAATTTTGACATTAAAATTGTATAGTTATAACAATATCTAATTTTCAGTTGTTAGCATTTATCAATCTGCAGTCATTTTATCCATCTCCATTGTGAAGCATTTTCTTTACTCTTTGACCAAAAACCCGTAACTTTTTACCACTTTTTAAAAACTCGATACTTTATTTTATCATTATTATTTCTGAAAAACAAACTGTTGGACACAGGCATTCACTATGAAGACCATGCTGGCCTGCAACTCAGAGTTCCACCCGCCTCCCAGAGTTCTTGGATTAAAGCCACCACCTCTGGCTAGAAACATTTTTAATGAGATGATTTTAAGTGAAAACCCAGAAAAAAAATAGGATACCTATCAGTTATAAATACAGGTAAAACACATTAATAGTCTGGTTTTTCTTTAAAGTAACTATATTAAGTATTTTAAAGTACTTTGTCTTTAAAAATAAAAACATGAATAATTGTCCCAAATATATTAGCATGATATATAACACATTAAGAATATTCATTATAATAATTATATAACACATGATCTATAAACTCCAAGATGTCTTTGTAACCCTTAAAGGGGGTTATTATTATTAGTATCATCATCATCCTTAGGTTTTTTTGAGACTGGGTTTCTCTGTGTAGCCTGGCTGGCCTGGACCTCAGAGATCTGCATGCCTCTGCTTCCTGAATGCTGAGATTAGGAGTGTACCGCCACCTGGCCTCACATGTGTATTTTAATTAGGCATGCCAAAATAATTTAACACAATAAAAATTCATTAAAAAAAGACTGAAGTAGCCAATATTAAATTTTGTTTTACACAGACAACATATGAAAACAATTCTATACACACATGGCACACCTATACAATTTCACCCACTTCAAAAAGGTAGGATGGCTGAGTGGTTAAGAGTCTGTGCTACGCTTACAGAAGACCAGAACTCGGTTCCCAGGACCCACAACTCCAGCACCAGGGCATCTGATGCTGTCTTTTGGACTCCACATAGATAATTAAAAAACAAAAAAGACTTTTTAAAAAAAAAGTTTAAAAATGGGTTGTGGTAGCACCCCTCTTATCCCAGCACTCGGAGGCAGGAGGGTTTCTGAGTTCCAGGACAGCCAGGGCTACACAGAAAAAAGAAAAAGCGGTGTGAGGATGGCTTAGGGGCACAGAGAGCACAGGGTGGCTCACTGTGGAGACTGGGGTGTAATGTGACTTTGTCTGTGTAAGAGCTTAACTAGCTGAGGGAGAGGGGAGGGGATGCCAGACTGACGTCTGCATCTAAGAGGAAGAGGACAGAACTGGTGTTGGGATCTGGCATCACCGGCCTGTGTCAGTCTGGAGTCAGCCTGGGCACCCAGGCCTGACCCTGCAGCCCTTCACATCTCTGCTGCTTTTTCTGTCAGGCCCCCCCCAGAGGCCCTAGGACCAGAAACGCTCTGTGAGTGTAAATACTAAGAAGGTCTCTGGCCAGAAAGAGCAGATAAGGAGCCCAAGGCAAGGACAAGCCTCTCCCAGAAGGCCAATCAGCAGCACCACAGACAGGGACACTCACCAGCAGGGAAGGCCAGTGTAGCTCCTGTGGCCCAAGAAGCTCCCAGAGCTTTAGGGACCCTGGCTCAGGCTAAGCCGATGTGTTCTGGATGGAACCTCAGGACAGGCTGCTGTAATAAAGACTTTAACACGGGATAAGCACAGGGTAAAGGGAAGCTGCTCCAGAAGAACCCGTAAGACACCCCAGGACTACCCAGGGGACAATGGCCAGTATAATACAACATGATATTTTCCTCTGATTAAAGACTTGTTCTCTGCTAGATAAAGAGATGAATGGGGGCTGGTCTCGGGCGTCACCCTTAGTCCCCTTATAACCTCAGTATTAAAAAAATTTACTCAATTTATTTTATTTTTATGTGTGAGTTTTTCCTTATGTATATATGTGTACCAATGTACATACCTGGTGCCCACTGAGATCAGAAGAGGGCATTGGATCCCCTGGAACTGAAGTCACAGATGGTTGTCAGCCGCCGCGTGGGTGCCGGGAATCAAACTCCGCTCCTCTGCAAGAGCCACAAATGCCCTTAACCACTAAGGCATCTCCTAAGACTGATTTTTGAATCTATCGTTTTATTTAGTCTGTATCCTTTTAACTCACATATAATATTACTAATTTTTGTGAGTTACCACTTTTATTTCTTTTCCTTTCTTAGATGATTCTAAGCAGGCTACCCATTCATGATTATTCTATTGCATGAAAAAAACTGCAGCTTAGGAATGTTAAACGTTCCCACTAAGGGAACCATAAAGCCAAGTGACTGTGGTTCAATCTCTCATGTTTTCAGATACTTTCAAGTTTGAAGTCTATAAATCATCACATAGACCCAACACACAGGGCTTATCCCCAAACAATTCTTTTTTTTTTTTAAGCTTTTTCTCATTTTTTTCTTTCCCTTGAAAATTTTCAAGAGCCAGAGGTAGTGGTGCACGTCTTAATCCCAGCACATAGAAGGCAGAGGCAGGCAGATCTTTGAGTTTAAGGCCAGCCTGGTCTACAGAGCTAGTTCTAGGACAGCCAGAGCTACCCTGTCTTAACACAATAACAATTAACGAGCCCCTCTGTGCTAGCTGGGAAATGGAGTGTGTGTTTTGGGTCAGGTTTATGTTCTGCTTTTCCCACTGGCTCTGGAGTTACATGAACATGCCATAACATGCCAGAGTCAAGACCCTGGGTGATCCAATGTCTTCCTAGCTGGGCCAGTCATGTTCCTTCTGACTCAGAATTGGCGTATGCCTGTCTCCTGGGTTGGGGGACAAGTGACTCTTACCTTTGTTACTGGGCTCCAGGAAAGTCTTCAGCTTAAGGCTGCAAGGAGCAGAAACATGGAACAGTTGTTTGAGGAAAGTCAGGAGACAGAGTCAAATGGCAGCAAACTGAAGTATTCCAAAGGCAAAAAAAGCCAAAAAAGATAGCCAAGTGCCCTCAGACATCTAAGAGTGGGAAACTGAAAACAAGTTGGGCAGTATCCAAACACCTTTAGATATAAACAAAACCCAAACCAAACATCTAGACCAAAATGTTCCACAGCGAGCACAACAGACAATTAAACACTCTAAAAGCAAAGCCCACTCAAAGGATCTACCATAGGAGCTTAGATAAACAAATGGGCCATGGACCCAACTGAGGGAGGCCCGAGAGTCCCTGAGAAAGGACCCCACAATACAGCTGAGGGGATAGTATGCTAAATAGCTCATGCTCAGTGGGTCCCTGGCAGCACAGTTCTTCCATCTCGATGACTCCTCTGGTGAAAGTGGATGGTGGTTCTTGGAGCCCATACCGGGTACTGTCAGCACATACCCACAGCTCTCACCTCAGAGGGAGAGAGCTTATCCTGGAGCCAAGGATGAGTGACCACAGACTGAGCACATAGATTTAGGTTATCCCAGATTCCATGTTCCAACATGGGAACAGTAACAGAACAAACTGGAAACAGAGAGACAGGTTATAGCCAAGAGGGGAGTCTCGGCTTCTCTGTTGGTCACAGGTGTTCAATCAGACACAGGTGGGCAGAGAATGACAACTTAGGCTAAACTTAAACTTGAACTAAAGCCCAATTTAAGCTGTAATTAGGCCCAGCAGCCTTTCAGTCTCTCCACATGACTGCAGTTCCACTAGAACTATCTGTTAGCACTGTTAGTCAACCAGCCTTCGTGGACACAGCCTCTTTCCTGAAATCCTCATTCAGTGCTCATGCCCTTGATGCTGGTTAGTGCCACTTCCCTCCAAGGGTCACTCTGCTCTTACAGATGGTGACTGACCTGGTCCTAGGCCCCAGGTACCACTCAAGACACTGGAATTTTCAAGAAAGGCTGACCAGACAAACAAGACCTCTGTCCCTATGGCATTTCTACTCCCATGAGACAGACAGGTCACAAACAAGGAAACAGCCTGGGGTTTCTGTGCTACAGAGAAAAACTGTCTATCATTCAATACCGGGAACGGGATGGACAGCCCACTGTCTGGCATAAGCACATCTGGGCGCCAGTGAGTACTTGGAAGCTAGACTCGGCTGAGCTTCATTTTCCTGGTGCAGAGGTGACAGGTATTTAAAGGGATGGCACGGGAGTGAGGAGAGGACAGAACTGGTGCAGAATGGCAGAGTGTCAGCGTGGGTGTACAGTGTGCCTGTGTCCAACAGAAGTGATGGAAGCTGACTGTCTTCCTACAAAGGATAGTGACAGTACTCCCTCTCTATAGTCACATCCAGGAATAATGCTCTCAGGCCCTTGAAGGACATCTGTGGTTGTAGGAGAAGACCAGGGCAGGACTGACTCAGCTCGGAAATGCAGACACCCGCACCGAGCATTCTCAGGAAGACATCCAAGGATCACTGTGCATCTAGGAGTCCCTCTGCAGCACAGTGCCATTGTCTTGGGGGCTGTATGGAATAGTTAGGTACTCTATGCCACTCACTGTGAGGACCAGGTTGTAAGTCACCACTTAGCTAAGCCCTGGAAGCAAAGGAGTTCTGGGACTGGGTAACAGTTCAAAACCACAGGTCGGTATGATAGGGGTAGAGAGAAGGCAGGAAGCAATGAGAGGCAGAGGCCTCAGGCCCTCGTGGGCATTTTGGACTTTTTTTTTTTTTTTAACAAGTCACTTGGTTTTATTTTTCCAGAAAGTTCATAGTTCCCACCTCTCCTTTCACCCCTGTCCTGTCTTCCATCCTTCACACTTTGCATCTGTGTGCTACGCCTGCTGGAGTCCTTATTCTACTACTATACTACTAACTATAAAGTCCTCCAGCCTCATTCTCCAGATGTTGTTCTATGGTCTCTGAGAAGCAGGATATCACGTGTGTGTGTGCGCACGCACACACACACACACACACACACACACACACACACACACACAGACAGACTGGCCACACTACAAGTCTGCATCAAATCCCAGAGCAGGATGAGAAGCCAGTGGAAGCAGGTGTTTGGCAGGAGCTGACTGAAACATTAAGAGGCCTGGAGGCAGAGCACGCCCTCCATCCCAGCCCTCCATGCATACGACCCTGTCTCAAAAACCAGTGAGGGCCAGTGAAGGTATTCAATATGAAACTTGACAAGTTTAGTCCCAGGATATCACACGGTAGGAGACAAGCAGTTCCCACAGGTTGACCTCTGACCTCCACACGTGTTGGATCTTCAGTGTCATGTGCACACAGACCAAGTGTGCATACATATTCACACATACACAGGTGCATATACACACATACTCAAGCACGAGTAACTTTTAAGAGAAAAGAGTAGATTGCTTTTCTTGGCCTGGGCATTGGGGCTGAAGGGTAAAAGATCTCTAGTTCCTCAGGGGAGTCCTGTGTTAGCACCCGGGCTGCCTGGAATAGAAACCCAGGAATTGAGTAGTCTTGGCTCTCATTTTACAACCAAGAACTGGATGTCAGATGGCAGCGGGGGGAGGGGGGAGGTTGGGGGGGGCAGTGATGCTGTGCAACCTCTGAGCCTGCTCACCGTTGTTCCCTGTTCCCTACAGATTCAGCAGGCCATCCACGGTAACCTGCAGAGACACACAGTGCTGATCATTGCACACCGGCTGAGTACTGTAGAGCGGGCACACCTCATCGTGGTACTAGACAAGGGCCGTGTGGTACAGCAGGGCACACACCAGCAGCTGTTGGCACAGGGTGGCCTCTATGCCAAGCTGGTGCAGCGTCAGATGTTGGGACTCGAGCACCCCTTGGACTACACAGCTGGCCACAAGGAGCCGCAGCAACACTGAACACAAGGCCTGGCAGTGGCCCCAGGTCGAAGCTCTGGAGGTGACTTGCCTGGTCCCACTCTGCTTCCTGCATCTCGCCTCCTTCCATTTGCTCCCCAGGCTCCACCAGCTGCCATGGGCTGACCCCTTCTATAGACTGTGTCCCTTCTTGGCCCCTCCAGGCCTGCCAAGGTAGAGCAGCCTTTTTAAACCAAGCTACCAGGGTTTTTACTGCTCAGTTCAACGTACTCCAGTCAACTCCTAGATTTCAAAAACACTTTTTTGGGACTGGCAGTGAGCAAGTTCACTGAGATGCTTTCAAGACTTCTGAGCCAAGAGTGCGCGACCCTTTCTAACTGCCTGGAGGATGTCTGGGAGAGAACTAAGCACTACCCTTTGCCTCTTGGGAGAAGCAGCTTCCCTGTCCCCTAGGGGGACACAAGGGTTGGCCTTTCCATCCTTCCAGTCTCCCGGCTCTGTGAGTCAGGCCAGAGGTGGGGCAACAGAGTGGGAGGTGGCCCACTGCCCATCACCCCCCTGCCAACCAAAGCCAGTCTCACTGTGAACCACCGGAACCTCAGCAGAGGAGGGGCTGGCCAGGCCTGGTGGGCCTTGGGGTGCCCTCAGCCCCGCATCCAGCACTTGAACCCTTCATCCTTTCCCCTGGCTGGCACCTTCCCTCCTGTCCACCCCTGCAACTCTGCAGAGGAACCTTGTTGTTTGTAAGATACATTCTCAGATTGGTGGAGGGGAACCGAGGCAATGCCCAGGGTCTGGCTTTGTCCTGGTTTCAAGATTTTGGGAGAACTGGGTCAATAAAGTGTACTACCTCTAACCTCTACCCTGTTATGTCTTCCTTGGGTCTGGCTCTCCTCTGGGCAGTGCACAGTACAGACCTGCACAGGCAGTTTGGTGCTGTCTTGGAGTCCCTGTCTGTTCACATCACTAGGAATTGAGTGTGTAAACTGTCTCCACATACCAGAGACTCCTGAGTTTCCATGGTAGCTAAGGACCATCTGACAGCATCTGTTTTTGCCCCTACACCTCCACCCAGTTTGAGGTAGAGAACATTGTTGCTGTCTAGGGGTCTTGATACAATTTGTTTTCTCTGTCGGTTAAATAATTAAAAGGTAGGACCTATTTACTCCAAATTTGTAGACCTCCCTTTGTTCAACTGACCAACCCTAAGTTAGTGGAAGAACTTGTCAGACTGTACTTGAACTTGTCAGACTGGTCCACAGCCCCACTAGCAGGGGAGAAAGCCTGAGCTTTTGTCTTGGTTGAGGAATCTGGTCATGGCCCTCTCCCCATCTGTCCCGTTTCTAGTTCCTCAACACGATTCAGCATTGCGGCGAGGGAGGTCTGGGCCGAGGAAGGGCCTGTGGGTAATTCAGCTTGGGCGTTTCATTTTGATTTTTGTTTTTCGAGACAGGGTTTATCTAGTCCTGACTGTCCTGGAACTCACTCTATAGACCAGGAGGGCCTCAAACTCAAAGATCCTTCTATCTCTGCCTCCTGAGTGCTAGGATAAAAGGGGTGTGTGCCACCATCACTTGCCTCAACTTGAGCTTTAAGACAGGGTCTCTTTTCTGGTGAGCTGACCATGAACTTGTGACACCTGGAGTCCCAGGTGGATATTATACCCATGAGGCTAATCTGATGACAATTCTTTACTTAGAGCCCTCTTACCAGGTGTGTCTAGGTTTGTGTCGAGTTGATGAACACTAACCAGCATAGGTGTCATCAGATCTCTGCTTTACCTTTGGTTGTCTATGGCGACTACATTTTGTAAATACTTCTTTAATGTTGTAAAGGCCCAACAAGATACACTGCTGAGCTGAATTGGTCCAGAGGAAGCAGAGATGGCCAAGGACTTCACAGAATGGGCCTCGATTTCCCCAACTGTAAAAGGCGATGCATTTCAAGAACTTCCTGCCTCTGTGCTCTTCTTACCTCGATGGGGGCTCTGGGGTGGGCACAGGTCATTTGTTTCCTCTTATTATTGAACAAATGACCCCACTTGGAAGAAATGTACACGCTCATAGTTTGGGAGATCATAAATCTAAAAGCAGGGTGTCATGGAGCCCTAGAGGAGAATT